AGAAGTACATCAAACATAGAGGTACATACAGCTGAAATAGAAGACCAATACCCGACATACGAAGAAGTAATACAGGCAATTAAAAAACTCAAAAATAATAAGACACCAGGTAGCGATGGTATACCCGCAGAGTGCTTAAAACATGGAGGAGAAGCATTGTACAGTTCGATATACAAGCTAATTCAAGACATTTGGCAAGAAGAAACAATGCCAGATGAATGGAAAGAAGGGGTTATTGTACCAATACACAAAAAAGGAAACAAAAAGCAATGTATTAACTACAGGGGAATAACACTCCTAAACACCACCTACAAAATCCTTGCAAACATCCTGCTAGAAAGAACCAAAACATACACAGAAGAAATTGTTGGAGATTATCAATGCGGATTTAGACCGGGCCGCTCTACAACTGACCAGATATTCACAATAAAACAGATAATGGAAAAATGCTGGGAGTTTGATCGTGAGCTTCATCAGATGTTCATAGATTTTAAACAAGCATTTGATAGAGTATGTAGGGACAGACTGTGGACAGCGATGCAGGAACTTGGCTTTCCAAAAAAACTAGTCCGGTTGATACGGATGTGTATGGAACGGTTACGATGTAAGGGTTGGACAACAATACTCGGAGACATTTGAAATAAACAATGGACTAAAACAGGGAGATGCACTTTCACCACAACTCTTCAACTTAGCTCTGGAGCACATAATCAGAAGTGCAAGAATCGAAAAACCGAATATAGTATTTCATCGAGAAGGACCAAACTTACTACTGGCATTTGCAGACGATATAGATCTAATAGGAAACACGCGATTAAGGATGAAGGAGACTTTCGTAAGGTTTGAGAAGGAAGCAGAGAAGATGGGGCTCCAAATCAACGAAAACAAGACGAAATATATGTATATGAGCCGCAATAACCAAAGCAGAGACAGAATCGGTCAGAACATTACCATCGATGACTTTAACTTTGAGCGCGTTAGGGAATTCAAGTATCTTGGAACAACAATAACTGAAGACAATAACGGATCACAAGAAATAAACAACAGGATTCAGGCCGGCAACAGATGTATTTTTGCCCTCCAAACCTTATAAAATCAAAACAACTAACACGACGTACGAAGGTACAGGTCTATAAAACAATCATACGACCCGTTGTGATGTATGGAAGCGAAACGTGGACGATGACAAAGGCAAATGAAGAGAGACTACGTCTTTGGGAAAGAAAAATCCTAAGGAAGATCTTTGGTCCGGTGCTTGATGAAGCATCAGGACAATATAGGATAAGAACTAATAAAGAGCTTGAAGAACTTTACCCAGACGCCAACATCATAAAAGAAATAAAGTCCAGAAGACTCCAATGGCAGGACACCTCAGAAGACATTCTGACGAACGAACAGTAAGACTGGTGTGGCAGGAAGTCCCAACTGGAAGGAGACCACGCGGACGCCCTCGTCTCCGGTGGCGAGATAATATAGCAGGAGACCTAAGCACTATGGGCGTGGAGAATTGGATGGAGGTTGCTCGAGACAGAAAACAGTGGAGGCATGTTGTCGAGTCAGCTAAAACCCACGAAGGGTTGTAACGCCACGGAGTAAGTAAGTAAGTAAACTTAATCTAAAGTTTAAGGTTCCTAAAACTGATGTCTGTCATAATTATGAAATATGAAAATTGCTGGTATTGAAAAAACACAGAAGAAAGGAGCCAGTTGAAGATCTCCTAAACAATACACCATATTTATGTAGAGTTGCTTATAAATGTAAGCAGTTCAGCAGTTCCTGCCAACGCATTTTTAGAAAGTTCTGTTTCTTTTTATACGAGAAGGACTGGACTTATATCTGATACTTATATCAAACTACTCTTTTAAATTTCTCATCCAGGACATTCCTCTACTGCCTGGATTTTTGCGTCCTTGGATTTTTCCTTGCATTATTATTTTGTAGGCTTGTGTACTTTTGTCCCCTCATCAGGTGGCCTGGGTTTGGGATAACTTCTGGATCGTTATTTATTCTGCGTATTACCTCTTAATTTGTAATTTTATCCAGCCAACTTATTTTTAGTATACGGCGGTAGCACCATATCTCAAAGCTTTTAAGATTTTTAGCATTGCTCTTTTTAAGAGTCCATGCCTCAACACCGTAAAGCAAAGTACTAAATACATAGCATTTTAACATTCTAACATTTTCACTGTGGTGCAAATGTGATTGTTTCTTATATTTTTAAAGAAATATTGAACCTGACTCCTGAAGTCACTAAAATAACCGTTTACTTAGATACATGTGCAGAACACAATAAAAATTTCCACGTTGCTACTATTTTTATGTCGTTAGAGCAGATATAAAGCTTAACAAATAATATCAACCATACATTTGTGATTTCTGGACATTGTCACATGGAATGCGATGTCGACCAATACCTTATCAAAAATGAGAAAAGAAAATCGGGAATGAAAATTGCTCATCCTCATGACTAAGCAACTCCCATTAGATGCACAAACAAAAAACGTTCATTTAATATAATTAAATGAACTTCGGATGACTTTTACGATATTGCTACTTTATTAAGGACAACATTTGTAAAAAGAAAATAAGTAATCGATTACGAGAAAGCATTCGATAATGTTAAACATGAATTGATGATAAAATACCTACAAGAGTTGGGATTGGATGCAAAGGATATAAGAATCATCGCCAATCTGTATTGGAATCAGACAGCAACAGTACGTCTTCAAAATTTCAACGAAACAGAAGATTTCTCCATTAAAAAAGGAGTAAGGTAAGGTTGTATACTGTCCCCAATGCTGTTCAATTTATACGTAGAAAAAGCCTTCGCAGAAGCAGTGGAAGACTCTAATAAGGGTATTAAAGTTAACGGCATATTTATTAATAATATCAGGTACGCCGATGATACAGCCATAGTAACAGATAGCATCGAAGATTTTCAATGCCTTTTAAATGATCTAACTCTTGCAAGTGAAGCTCGGGGTTTGAAAATAAATATCAAGAAGACAAAATCAATGATTATAAGTAGAAATGATTACACCAACGCAAAGATATATGTCTCTGGAGAAGAAATCGAACAAGTCAGGCAATTCAAATACTTGGGATGTTTGCTGAATGGTTGAAGGGTTGGGACCCCGAGAATGAAATAAAGAGCAGAGTTGAACAAGCCAGAAATACTTTTTTGAGGCTTCGTAAGTTTCTGACTGATCGCAAATTGGACTTCAACCTCCGATACAAGATGCTTAAGTGTTACGTGTGGGCCGTTCTCCTGTACGTAATGGAAGCATGGACGTTAAAGGCCAGTTCCATTAACAAACTTGAAGTGTTTGAAATGTGGTGCCTGCGTCGAATGCTCAGAATATCATGGACGGACAGGGTCAGAAATGAGGAAGTACTCAGAAGAGCGGGCTTACAGAATAGGGAACTTTTTAATTATGTAAAAAGTAAGAAGACTGCATAATTGGGGCACATTATACGAGGAGAACGATACACTTTTCAGCAACTGATACTCGAAGGGAAGATAGAGGGTAGGAGAGGTCTCGGACGTAAAAAAATGTCATAGCTGCGCAATATTCGATAATGGACAGGAATCCACAGCTATGAAATGCTTCGCAATGCTGCTAAAAACAGAATTATTTAATCCAGAATATTTAACATCTCACCTGACAAGACGATGTACGGTAGACGCCTACGCAGAAATGCACAGCACCTTAAGAAGAAGAAGAAATAAGTAGTGATGAAGATTTGTTCAAAATATGCTACAATATTTTAAAACAATTGTCTGGAAGATTCAGACAATTTTAAGGAAATTAATTTTACTGGAAGAAGTTGAAAAAGTGCAATAGAACTTATAGCTTAGGTATAGTAATCTCATATCATTTGAAAAAAACAACAGCTTGTTACAGCTCGTACCAGAAGTATACATAAAGTTTTATCAAGAACTGCCAACTAAAAGTGTAAATGATATAGACCCATATTTAGAGGAGTTTGTTTCTAATGTTCCAAAGAACTTAAGTAAGATCAAACTTTGATATCTTACTATATTTTATATCAAACTATATATGTATTATACATGAGCTGTTTTCAACCCACATGTGCTGAAAAACCATTTATTTAAGGTGAACATAGATTTACCATGTTTTATCAAATCTTTAAAAAATATTAATGCAATATTCCATTTACTGACTTTTGCCCTAACTGCAACACTGCAATACTGCAACACAGAGTTAGTAAAACATTCGAATAAACAAACTAAACACCTACAAAATGCAGCGAACAAAATAAGCACTTGGAATAATAAATGATACATAACAATTAATGAAGAGAAGATAGAAATTTAAAGTAGCAGTAGCATATCAGAAATAAAACTGAAGAACTGAAACTGAAATATAAGAAGTAATATTTGGTATTACGTAAAAGAATAAAACTTAAAATCAAAAACAGGGTATTTTTTACAAACAAATGCTTAAACCAGTATGGTCCTATGGTCTACAGACATGGGGCAATACCTACTAGTAAGAGTAACTATGGTTCTCTTCAAAGAGTACAAAATTAAATATTAAAGAACATAGACAACGCTCACAAAGACCTACATCGAGAACATAGTATAATTAAAGAAGAAATAAAAAAAATTGAAAAGGGTCACGAAAACCGACTCCATAACCAAACAAACACGAAAGTATTAGAACTGCTAGAAAAGTTTGACATAGTTCGCAGGCTAAAACGTAACGTAACCACGATAGTGGGGCATTTATAAATGCCAGTTTAAATTCGGGCAATGAACTAAGCCACAAAAGTAAAGTGTAGAAAAGTAATTATTAGGTTCTAAGTTAAAACATTAGAAATACCTAGACAGTTAAATAGCAGAGTTGATTCAGTATAAATGTTGGTTAATCAAGGGATTAGTTACATTGTTTTTCTAATAAATAATTTTTGTACCTTTCTAATGGTCTAATTTGTAAATTTATACTATTCTTGCACATTAAAGTTATATTACTTACTCAAAATTATATCCTGTGTCGGTTAATTCATTAGTATATTTTACAATTCGGGCATCTCCGCTGGGTCGACACTGCACACACAAGACAACTGAGGCCAAAACGATCACCACTAGCCTTTCAATCATTCTTCTTTATCTGATTGGCATCGTAAGAGACTAATAACCTAAAATGTATTGTTTATACTTTTATAATGAGTCACGTTGAAAAAATACATTGCGTGCGAAATCGAAGGGGAGAGCAACTAAGATGCAAGGATGTTCACTTTTTTCCGGTATTTCCTTGAACTTATCGCAGGATTTTACAATAATACGAGTAATTGGTTAATCAAGCAAAGTGTATGTAATGAGTACCTTATATCGAAGAAAAGTATTCAACTCTATATACGTGATGGCATGGCTGAAGTATTTATGAGAAACTTAAAGAAAAAAATAAATTTTTAACAATTCAGACATACCAAGAAGCTTTTTAAACTAATTAACAAAAACGTAGGTACATCGTAAATATCTCTAAAATGTTTTTTTTTTCATTAATTCTTTCTCTTTGGGCCATTGAGATTTATAGTATATTTTAACGTTCTTTACATATATGGACGTTTGTTAATTAATTTAACGAACGAAGTTTTTTATATTTTATCTTATTTTTATGAGATTTTGCCGCAATTTCTTATGTAATTTATGCATTGGGAATTATCACTGCAAGTTTTAAAAGGTCACAGAACAAATCATCTTGTTTTATACTGTTTGGAAACAACTTATGGAATAAAAAAAATTGTTTGTGTCCTTATTTTAGAAAATAATAAAAAACGTTAAGATACCTTAAATTTTAAATTTAAATGTGCGCTTTTTGAACATAAATTTAAATATGCAGGGTGGTCCACGCAAGTCTGGTATAGTCTGTAATCTGTATTTTAAATGAAACACCCTGTATATTTTTATATTTTAAAAGCTCCTTAACAAACTGTTCTCAACGAACTATATTATGTAGGGTCTATTATAAATAATACAAGGTGAAATTTTGAAATTAAGTATTTTCTTCAAGACAATTAATTCATAGAATACCCGAGCTAATTGGTTGTATTACACTAAAATAAATGCTCAAAACGTTTTTCACCTTGTTGTTGGCAATAACACAGCCTAACTCCTATAAAACTCGTCCCAAACTCGTTTAAAGTTTATGGTGACATATTCCTTATTTCTGTAGTTATCCTTTCTTCCTTTCTTTGAGGTCTTCAATGCTAGTTGGTTATGTTGCATATACTTTGTTCTTGAGATAACCCCACAGAAAAAAATCCAAAGACGTAAGATCTTGCGACCTAGCCGGCCACTTAATAGTACCACTCTGTCCAATCCATTTATTGAAGAAGTTTTCATTGTCACAAGTAATTCAAGTAATTTCTCACAATTAAAGCATAATAGGGTGCTGGACTATCCTGCTGGAACTAGACAGTTTTATGCGGTTGGGTCGGATCTATTAGATTGGAATATAAGTTAGCCAACTAAGAAAAAACATCATCTCTTAGCATGCTTAAATATTTTTTTGCTGTCAAATTTCTATCTTCAAATATATGACCAATAATATGATATGATCCTATAATACCTGCCCAAACATTTAACTTTTGAGGATACTGAGTGTGTGTCTCACGCATTCAATGAGGATTTTCCGCTGACCAATATCTACAGTTTTGCTGGTTTACCTCCCCGTTCAATGTAAATGTTGATTCATCATAAAAAAGAATTGTACCAAGAACTATTTCATTTTTGTTAATTTTATCCATCAGTCTTTCGCAGAAATCCATTCTACGATCTGGATCATCTTCTGTTAACTCTTGTACAAAAGTCAATTTATATTAATGAAGTTTTTCTTCATGGAGACACCTTAGGACAGTTGCATGACTTACATTATTTTGACGTGCAAGTTGACTTAAACTTGACGTTGGATTTCCTGCGACACTTAATAAAATATTAATACTTTCACCTCATCTTCAATGAAGTTCGGTTTTCTTTTTAATGTTTGACATGTCTAAGTTCTCTGAATTGTGCATAAATTTTAGACACAGTACCTTGTGAAATATTAGGCTAATAAGGATACCTCTAATTAAATAAGTTTGCTACTTCAACTTGACTTCTATAATTCTCCCCGTAACCGATCATCATTAAAATCTCAATTCGGTGTGTCTCAGTTAAATATTTCGGTTAAATTTACCGAAAGTACAAGCTAATTATAGCCGCAAATGTCAAACATGGAACAAAAAATTTCGCTATAGCAGTGTTGGCGTGGTTTTATAAGGTATACTTCAAATATAAAAAGATAAAGCTTTAGAAAAGTACATTTTGTTTATATTATGTTATGAATTCGGCAATTTTTGATTTATATAAAACAACAATGTGTAAATATTTATTTCTTTGGAGATTAGTTGCAGTTATTTATAAAAAATTTTTTGGCACTTACTCTTTGATAGATTAGGGGGAATACGGCCGGTTTGCGCTCGACCGTTTTGCGCCCTTACCTGAAATCGACCGATTTGCGCTTTGCAATTTTCATAATAAAAATCGCTCCATTGATAGAAGAACGTCATAACACAAAAAATTATATTTTACAGATAGTATATAAAAACAGTTGCTAATGTAACCTACTTTTATGTGGAATATCATCACAACATATGCATAAAAATATTACCAACAGATGGCAATAGTATTGTTTCAGATGTCACCAAATGAAGTGATCCGTTATGCGGAAGAACGACAGTTCTAACTTACCTTGCAAACGAAACTGTTGTTTCAGTCTTAATTTTATGGTATATAGTCGCAACACAAAAAGTGTCGTTAAGGTACAATAAGTGCTAAAGTGATTTTGTGGAAGTACGTCATAAAAACAATTGGGTCGTTTGAAAATACGTTTAATGTGATATTTGTGTGCTACACTTTTAAGTAAGAACGTTGCTTACTGTAAATTGATTTTTGGATTTGGATTTTGTCGTTGTTCTTTATAAAAACTGGTTAGTTTTTATAAAAAATGTTACTACTGGAGAGTCCATTTTTAGTCCATCAGTAAGTGACGCTAAATCATCAACATCATCCGAATCGCAAGTTCCCTTATCATCTCGTATTAGCAATATATTAGATGAAGATAAAGAAAATGTCACAGAAGTTAATAAGGATAAAAAACCAAGAAAACGTAAACGTGATAAATCTACCTGAAAGAAAAATTTGGCGAAAAAGTTAAAAGATCAAGGAAAATCATACGTATCGTCCACTACTAACAAACCTATAAAAAAAAGAACAATGGACCCTTCGTGCAAAAATACATGTAGGGTTAAATGCTACTAAAGTATATCAAAAGTAACAAGAGAATGGATTTTTCAAGAATAGTGGGAATTGGAGATAATAATAGACAGCGCGACTTTATATCCTCATGTATTGTTGCCATCAAACCCAAATATCAGTACTATGTTCATGAAAATAAACGTCCAGATAATAATGCATTCTATTTCACGTTCAATGAGACTAAAATAAAGGTATGCAAAACATTTTTAAATCTACGTTGAATATCACAGACAGACCACTTGTAGAAAAGCGCACGGAGATTGGAATATTAGAAAATGATCGTAGAGAAAAACATAAAAACCACCGAAAACTTCATGACAACATTAGGGAAGAAATAAAACGCCACATAAATAGCATTACTCGGATTGAAAGTCATTATACATGAAGTCGATCTAACCGTGAATACATAGAAAGTGGTAAGTCGCTTGCTGATTTGTATAACGATTATGTTGAGGAATGTAAACAAAAGAACATTTCTTATGGAAAGTATCTTATTTATCACCAAGTTTTTAACAACAACTTTATTAATTCTTTCTTTACTTCTAAAAAGGACCAATGTTCGTTGTATGTTTCCTATGATATTGCAAGACACTCAAAAAGAGGAAGTTAGGACTGACCACAAAAACCATATCATGGAAAAGGATTTTCCAAAAGTTTGTCAATCCAAGAGAAAGTATCTACTACCAGTTAACTAGTGTCCTTTGAAACATCAAACCATAATAAAAGCTTTTAATTTGTTTGCAAAGTTAAAGGAATATCAGCTAGTGAAAAAATTCATAATCTTTGAACCACGATATTGACACAATGTTGATTTTTGAGTTATGACGTTCTTGAATAAATGAAGCGAAATATCTACTATAGTTTCCTTAATCGGCCGATTTGCGCTCTCTTGCAACATAGTTTTAATTTCATTCTACAATAATAGCCTGGTAAACCTGCAATGAACAAACAAAAATGTCAAATAAACAGAAACATATTTTTTCTTTAGATTTGAAAAAAAAATGTCAAATCAAAACTAATAAAATTATTAAATTTTTCTAATACTGTCGAACAGAGTGTTCTTAAATCTTTAATACCTTTGTTTATTATCCTTCTACATTCCAAAATTCTCTTCAGTGAAAAGTGGCTTAAACAATTGTAGAAAACATGCGCGTAAGCTGCTCACAGATCCAGCGGCAGCATCCGAAATAGTATTTCCAGAAGAAATTATTACAATGAACGACAAAACGAAATTTTTATCTATCGACAAGACCACTTCCTCGGGATAGAGAATCTTGGTGGTTGCCAGCAACAAAGCTACGGAGATTTTTGTTAACAGTAAGCCCACTGTATTTATAGATGGAACATTCAAAAGCTGCAGTAAGCAGTTTAGTCAAGTATATACCGTTCATATCGATATTGGTAGTACGTCAGAGGAGACAAATACAATTCCATTGATATTTGTGTTACTTCCTAACAAAACAAAAGAGACATACGATATGTTATTTTCATCAATGAAAAAGAAACTACCAAATTGGAAACCATCTCTTATAAAACTGGATTTTAAACAGGCAGTGATTTGTGCCTTAGAGAATTATTATCCCGAGGCCAAAATTCCTGGCACAGATACTTTTGCACATAAGAATGTGTGCTGCGTTCGCGTATCTACCCATAGAGGATATCGATGATGGCTGGTTATGCCTTCAAGAAACCTCTCCTATTTCTGAAAAAATGGAACAGTTTTATGACTACTTTGTCAAACAATGATTAGAAAATACTCACATTACCAGGGAAATGTGGAATTGCCATAATCAAAGACATCGCAGTAATAATGTTTTAGAAGGTTGGAATCATCGTTTGAATACATTAATAAGACCATATCCCAATGTATTCCAATTAGTAAAGTGCCTGGTTATAGAGGCAGAATATTGTGATCACCTTTATGATCGACTTACTTTCAATCTAGAAGGAAAGCGGTGCAAGAAAACATATACTAATCGTGATTAAAGAATATCCAAAACTTTACAGAAATATAAAGATACAAGGGACTTAACGTTGTATTTAAGGACATTGGCATATATCCAGAAGCTGCAATAAATAGACAATTGTTTATTTTCAAAAATTGTTGGTATTTTACTGTATAAAAAGTTTGAAAAAAAAAACAAAAAATAATTAACAAGTTAAAAAAAACGAAAAAAAAAAAATTAAAAAATAAAAAAACATGTTCTAAATACGCCAATGTTTATATTATGTATAAACTATGACACTCCTAAGCCTGAATGAAAGTGAGAAGAGAAGATGGTTTATTTTTATTTTTTTATAGTTTTATGACTTTTTAAAATTAATTTTACTAGCCTAACCGTTACTTGATCGTTATGGTAGAATAAAATTAAACGTCGATTACAAGAGAGCGCAAAACGGAAATTTTCGCCAATATACTGACACGTAATAAATTATTAGTTTCAAAATTTCATCTTGTATTATTCATTATAGACCCTACATGATATAGTTTGTTCAAATCAGGTTTTTAAAAAATATTTTAAAAACATAAAAATATACGTAGTGTTTCATTAAAAATAAGGACTATGGACTATGCCAGACATGCGTGAATCACTCTGTACATTTAAATTTATGTTTAAAAAGCGCACATTTAAATTTAAAAATTAACGTATCCCAGAGATTTTTATTATTTCTTTTTATAATTAGGACACGAACAATTATGTTCCATAAATGGTTTCCACACTGTATAAAGTGTACTATATCTTGTATGTGACTTTTGCCAAATATAATAATTATTGTTATTGTAATGACCCACAAGTTACATTTTTATTAAATCCAAAAACTTACTTATTATATCTACATTGAGCACGTCACTGACATTGTTTCACTAAATTTACATACAATGTAACGCATTTTACACTGGAGTGTTTCGAAGTTATCTTCTGAAGACGCAATTTACAACTAACGTGGAATGCTTCAGGCAGTCCTATATATAAACAGATTAACATAGTTTTGAAAATGCGCTTCTTTTAAGACCGTCATATTTTTTTGCAAAGCACGTACCTAAAATATTTAAATTTGGAGTACAGTTTTAGGATGTAATAAATATTTGGCATGCAGAATATACTGCTCTAAAAAAGAGGGCGATATTTAAGATTTTATGTCACTAATATTTTACAAAAGATAAAACTTCTATTTTTATTTCTATTATAGGGATCAAGCTTTGCTTATTCTGCCTTGACAATGTTCAATAACACTACTGACTGTGGCGTATAAAATACTGTCAAATATTGTGTATGACCGATTGAGACCATATGCGGAACAAATACTTGGGGGATATCAATGTGGTTTCCGCAGGCAGAAGCCCACAATAGATCAGATCTTCGTCTTGAGGCAAATTTTGAAAAAACTAGTGAATTTAATATAGACACACATCATCTTTTCATTGACTTTAAGAGTGCCCATGATAGCATCCATCGAAAATTTCTGATCTAAGCACTGAAAGAGTTCAATATTCTAACCCAACTCATTGACATAATAAAAGAAACATTTAAAGTACAAAGCAAAATTCGAATTTAAAACGAACTAACAGAAACAATCCATGTGAGAACATGCGTACGACAGGGAGATGCCCTATCCTTTATTCTATTCAACATCACATTAGAGAAAATAATTAGAGAGTCAAAAGTCAACACCAGAAGAACAATAATAACAAATAGTATAAATATTGGCATTTGCAGATGATGTTGATATCACAGCTAGAAGCGAAAGAGAGGTTATAGAAGCATTTATTGCGATAGAAAGAGCGGCAAAAACAGTGGCCTAAACATTAACGAAATAAAAACCAAATACATGAAGGCCGGTAAATCGACATGCCAAAGAAACGTACAGAATCTGACAATAGGAGACTATAACATCGAAACCGTGAAAATTTTTGCATATCTAGGTTCACTAGTTACCGCAGATAACAATGTCAGTAAAGAAGTTAAGAAAAGAATACATATCGCTAATAAAACATATAATGGACTGATTAAACATCTAAGATCTAACAACATCAGAAGAAAAACCAAATGCAAAATACAAGACCCTGATAAAACCAGTCCTTGTATATGGATCAGAGACATGGATACTGCCGAAAAACGATGAGAACCTATTAGGTACATTTGAACGAAAAATCTTTAGACACATATATCAGTTGGTAAAGGAAAATGATATATGGCGCAGAAGATATAACTTTGAACTATACACAGCATACAATGAACCCGAGATCATAACATTCATAAAGATCGGACTTCTGCGCTGGTTGGGCCATGTTAAAAAACATAAGACGACCATGTCTTTATAAGAGTAAAAACCCTATTAAACTTGTAAAAATCAAATTTAAAAGGTTCTTAATGCATGGCTGATTCAGCCATTGATAGGATGGCAGAAGGTATTAAGAACCGTATGACCAGCTTGACCTTCGGACATGCGGGTTCCACTGTTCAATGGAACATACGTGTTACTAGTAGCTGAGTAATACGCGTGTGTGAGGTTGACTGAGGTCTGACCGACGGAACATTTATCACACGTTCTACATGGTGTTTTGTAAATTAGAGCTTTCCATAGGTACTTTGTCGTGGAGTCTTTATTTCAGTGTATAGATTAAAAAGGGTTTTAACCTATTAATGTCCAAAATGAAATAAAGAAAGATTGTTTTTAATAGCAATGATCAAAATTTAGGTTTTTTTTCTTTGTTTTTTTTTTGATATATGATATAATATCATACGCTGGGCAATAAAGGACACAATATTTCATAAAACATTATTTAAAACTAATCACTCTTTACTGGTAAGCGGTTAATAATTTCTAATGTTATGATAAACATTTACATTGTAACATCTACTCTATAATCTATATTGGAAAAACAAATGTTTACTTTTTATCTGGCTAGTAAATGGCAAAATACGTAGCAGTCTCGCGTATTACATAAAATACGGTTAAGACATTATTGGGTTAATATTCCTAGTGGTAATTCTAATTTCTGTGTTTTGCTAAATAACCAATTTCGGTGTTAAAGTTGCTATATCTGGTAGAAGAGACTGATCGAGCAGTGAATACTGATGCGAAAAGGTTTTGTCCACATATCAAGGAAAAGACACTAACAAATGAAATAGGAAGTAGGTATTGTGTAGTGGTTTGTTAAAAGAAAGTGATGTTTTATATCATTTAAATTATTTAAAAGTTATTTATATTAATTCCATACATGCAGACAAATTTGCATCAAAAACTTCATACCAACAAAATTAATAAATAAATAATAAAAATAATACTAAATATATTTATATGTATATTAGAACAATTTTACAGTTGCTTTAAAGATCTATGGAATATTATTATTTAGTTAGTTTACATGAACGGAATTATTTAGCATTTGAATTTCTGTTCGCCTGGAATAATAATGTAATTGTGGGAACTAACTAAAAAGGTATACATCCTAATAATTTGCAAAACCTAATAATAATACCAGATCTAAATAATCATGTGGATAAACGAATGTTCATTGTAAAAGTAATGGTATTTATTATTGCACAATAATGAATTTTAAATTTTTTATATCTTTTATATTGTATAATGAACATTTTTTTTATTATAACAAATAAATTAAAAACGAGAATAAAAATGTGTGCAATAAATTAATGTGATGCATTTAAATCACTTTCCAGAGAACCAAGATATTCGACATCCCAAAACGTACCTACAAGGCGAGCAGGTCTTGGTGAGAAACCACTTTAAAGAGAACTTCGGCCCTACTTGGACAGTCCCTCACACCATCCTCAAAGTTTTAGGCGACCATAAATTTCTTCCAATTAATTAATTAATTTCTTTTTGTCTTAGTTGTACTTGCTTTGTTTTTTTGTTGATGTGTTTCTTCCAACACAGGGTTTGGTTAAGATATAGCCCAAGGTATTTGGTTGTTTTAGTCCTAGGTATTTCTTCAGTGTTGATATATTATATGGGTAGTGGTATTCCTCATCGTAAAGTAAAAATATATGGGTTAACTTGCTTTTATTTATTTTTATTTTCCATTATTACAGCCAGTTTTCAAGCTCATACAAATAGCCTTGGAGTTGTTGTGCAGCTATGTATTTATGACTTGTAAGTGCTACTTACAACGGCAAGTCACATATCAACGACATATCAATAGCTGAAATTTACCATGCTCTAAAGAAAATGAAAAAAAACAAAGCACCAGGAGAACATGGAGTAGTGGCGGATGCGCTAAAAATCGGAGGCTCTGCTCTCATCAGGACAATCAAGCAGCTCTTCAATATATGCTTAGAAAACCAAGCAATACCAGCTGAATGGAATAATTCTATAACGCTCCTCATGCATAAGAAAGGAGATCAAATAGACCTCGAAAACTATAGGCCAATCAGTCTTCTAAGTCACCTGTATAAATTATTTGCTCGAATTATCACTGCCAAAATTGAGAACAAACTAGAAACATGCCAACCAAGAGAACAGGCAGGTTTCCGCCCTGGGTATGGTACAAATGACCATCTAACTTGTCTAAAGGCCCTAATTAAAAAAACTATAGAGTACAACCGGCCACTAGTTCTAGTATTTGTTGACTATAAAAAAGCCTTTGACACTATCGAGATGGTAGCTATCTTAAGAGCTTTGAGAGATTGTAGAATCGACTACCGATATACCAGCATTATTCAACATATATATGCAAATGCCACAACAGCAATAAACCCCTACTCAAAAAATTAAACTAAAAAGGGGAGTTCGACAAGGAGACAACATGTCACCAAAACTATTCAATGCAGCATGCATTCCAGATGTTAGAATGGGAAAACAGAGGTTTGAGTGTCGATGGCGAAAGGCTGAACCACCTACGATTTGCAGATGACATAGTTCTAATAACCGACGACTTAAAAGAGGCCAACGAAATGCTACAAGATTTACAACGAGTCTCCCAAAAAGTAGGGCTGGAAATAAACTTTGCGAAAACTAAAATGATAACCAACTTAATACCTAATGGACCATTGAAACTAGAAAACTGGCATATTGAAACGGTTGACAAATACATATATCTGGGCCACGAAATACAAATAAGTAGAGACAACTAAACATGCGAATTATCTAGAAGAATAGCTTTAGGATGGGCAGCCTATGGCAAGCTAAAAGACGTGTTTAAGGAAAATATCCCAATAAAGCTAAAGAGAAAAGCATTTAACCAGTGCGTACTTCCGGTGCTCACTTATGGAGCAAAAACACTGACATTGACTAAAGCATCAATAAAAAAGTTACAAGTAGCACAACCAAAAATGGAAAGATCTATGCTTGGCGTAACTTTGAGAGACCGAATACGAAATGATGAGATACGGCGAAGAACTGGAGTGGAAGACGTCATAAAACGGATTACGAAGTTGAAGTGGAAATGGGCAGGACACGTCGCAAGACAGAGAGACAACAGATAGACAAAGAAGATTTTAGATCATGTAGTGGTCCTACATCAACCGATGTAGGACCACTACATGGTGGTAATATTTGTTTAATTTTATAAAGAAATTCTTTATGCCAAACCTTATTAAAAGCTTTACTTACGTCTAAAGATACAATTGGGCAATATTCATGTGTTTCTAATGCGGGGTTGATTTTATGGCTTATTCAGCGGCATTGCTGGATAGTTGAGCGTTCTCATCGAAATCCAAAATGATAATTTAGTGTCAAGTCTCCACGTATAAAGTCGTGATCTATACTTTTTAATAAAAGCTTTTATATTAATTTGGAGATTGTTGATAACAGACTGACAAGTCGATAAAATGTGGCTTAACTGGGATCCTTTTCTGGTGTTGGGAATTAAAGTATTTCTGCAATTTTCAGATTGCTAGGCTAATAAATTACACCTTAATATTGAGTTAAAAATATACATAAAAGGATTACCATACTTTTTTGGGCAAT